TTTGTGTCTTCCTGAATAATTCTCATCAGAACTGGTTTTGCTACTTTTGTGGCCCAATAAGGAGGCGAATTAGTTGAGTTTGGGTGTGGAGCCCTCCTCGGAAGCACTTAACTATGTAAATAAGCATGGTGGCACTGTCTGGTACATGGTCATCAAACACATCTGTGGGACGGCTGGGGGGGGGGGCGGTGAAGTCGGCTGCCTCCCAAATTTTCAAGTATCCCCGTCCGGCCGGGTCCATGCAAGTGGTCTTAGACAAGCTCAAAGGCTAATCCAAAAGTCTGTTACTAAGGCAAGTCATAAGGAACATCCGTCAAGTTTTCTGATCTGTAACGTGAATCTTCTTCCTTGATCTGTTCCGCTGAAGCGACGCAGTCTTCTAAGGTTCATGGTTTGACCGGGCGCCGCCGGTTTTCATTTTCTGTGCCGAGAATTGAACCTGCAAGCAAATTACGTGCGCCAATGCTGCGTGCAGGATGATGTATGTACGCAGCGAGGCCAACTTAAAAAAGGAAACGGCGCACATCAGAAATATGTATCCAGTGCTCTCCAACTTCAAAAGCAATTAAAATTGCGTTTTGTGTCCCGGACTGCCTTGATGACCTCCTGTTGCCCCTGATGTCAGAATGACCACCACGGTCCACAACCTTCTTTCCTAGAAGTCTGTTTCTTCCAATCAGCGAGCTGGGAGACGCTTGTTTGCAAACCCCTAACAGTCTCGCAAAGACGGCATACCTTTCGGTTCTTGGAATACACCCAGTCTGCTCGTTGAAACCTCTTCCCATGCGCAAGCAACTTAATCCCCCGATAATCCGCGCAAAGTTGTTCGGAATCCTTCCCTCCGTCGGCGGATTCCAATGGCGTAGTTATGCTAAGCTTGAGCCCAGGTGAAGGCCCGGTAATCGCTATGCCATCATTACGATTGGGCAAAGTGAAAGCCCCGCAACTGCTATGTTGTGCCACAAGTTGGGCGTCTTGGTACTACACCAGCAGTTGGTCTTATTGCAAATGGACGCCGCTAGGGCCTCCGTAGCAGAAGTGAAGTAGTCATAAAATGCCGAAGGTCTATGCTATGTAATTAGGTAACCATGAAATATCAATGGTATGTGTGGCTCTGCAGAATCTTTCGTCGATTTGATACGTGTGTAAATATGTACTCCTATCGTAGATAAAAGTGCCGAGCGATGCTGATTGCTCGCAGTCATGTATTCACTCTTGCCGCGTTTGGCATCGCTCATCGCTCATCGGCCTACTGATGTTGTTTGAGAATTGGTTTACAAAGCGACTCATCCATTGGGTTCTTCAACACAAACAGCATCCAGTTTCCTCTTTCTTAAAATCCCTCTGCATTAGGATACATAGGTAGACGGCATTGCTTTCATTCTTTCCAGAACAAAAAAAAACACAAATTCATGCAAACTACAAACCAGACATCTAGGCAAAACTAGAAGAGGATCCCAAATCTAACAATGAGGATTCCAAACATATCGAAGATCTTTACCGGAGGCCTATCCTTGTCGGGCACTCGAGCTCCAATCCGTTCGCCAAATTGGAGAACAAGAAGCGTAGGCCGCTTGGAAGAAGCGTCGTGGCTTTTGACGGAGGAAGTCCAGATGGGGGAGCCCTCCTTGGATAGGTCGACCTCCTTGAGTAAAGCTGAATTTCAGTCGCACGCTGATGCCCTCAAAGAGAGGAACGGTGAGCCCAAAAATTGAAACTTTGAAATTATGAATACAGCTCTAGAGCCTCTACGCAAGAGACTGCATCCATCAATTTCTTTGGAACTGATGTTTCAATTCTCCTTTTCTCAAATTGTTGTATGTAGAGGACTTTGAGGCCAAGAGCAAAGGTGAGCTTTACGACATGCACACAATACACCAGGAATGCAACGCCATGGAAATTGAGCTCATAAAATACGCGCGTGCTTACACTTATAGACCGCTATCTTTGGAAAGTACCATACGAGTGGGACCCTCCAAATCATGGCGATACTGATCGCTGGTTGAATGCCCTCCTGTGTAAGTTACTATCCATGGAGATTCAGCGAGGCGAAAGAGCTACATAAGTTATCTAAGCCTCTTCCCCGCGTCGTCACCGCGCGCTCTCGAGGAGGTACATTCAATTTACATTTGGACTTCACTTCTACGCGCAGACAATCCTCCGAAGGATATGCAACGCGTGTGGCTAATAGGAGGTGAGTTGGAGTGATTGTGAATCTTTCATCTCCATCAGACCGTTTCTTACCCATCAGGAGGGGAGCTACACGCAAACAATGGCCTGATTTAACACTTCGATCGGCATAATTAGATGACAAGAAAGGTGGTTTTTCGCACCCTCTGGAAGACATTCCGCTTGTGCAGCGCCTTCTTTATCTCCGCCAAACTGGTTTAGTGCGCCCGTTGAAATTCCAACTGCTTTATTTCTTCGAAAGAATAAATCAACTAAACCTTGAACGATCCAACGCATTACAAGATGCTTCAATTGTTGACTTCATTCTTGCATTGGCCGCCATCACTGAGGTCAACCAACGTTCAAAAAAACTACTCCATCCAATCTCTGCAATGATTGAAGAATGCATATTGAGCGAATTCATGCCTGGGTTTGAAAAAAAAATAACTGAGTCTAATAGAATCGATTTCAAAAATCTCATAAGTGTTTTGAGAGAATTGTGGGATGATCGTAGAAGGGAGACCTAGTGAAATAAATTTATCATATATCGTTGTCACTGTGTAGGCTTGCCACGTGCAATTACCCGCTAAAAACATCATGTCTCATAGAAGTGTTTTACATCTTCAAAATCACTTTAGTGCACAGTAGAAGTGGAATGTCGCATCATGTCAAAAATTTAGTTGTTTTTATTGAATTGCCCCTTTAAAAATGAATTAGTTATGAGAACCCCAAAAATTGAAATAACAGCCCCTTGATTTTGAACCTTTTCAAGAAGAACCCATACAAGTTGACATCCTATATTTACTAAATTGTGGCGGCTGTGACGTATTTGGGACCAGAAAAAAGGAGGGACTTGAGTTTTACCTTGTGGTAAAGGATGCACGATTTTGCCGCCTTTTTGTTGTACTCACTGCAGCTCCCACATCTTAGGAGCTACACACAAAACCTTGGGGAGGGAAAGATGCACTTGCTTAAGAGAATGCACCTCTATGGCAGAAGGCATTCTGCTGAGCAAGTGGTCTATCCTCACAATTTTTGGTTTTTTTGGTTGAAGAAGAAAATGTAGTAAAAATGGACTGTGCAAAAGTGTTAGAACATCAAAATTTGAACAAATATAGACTGTCAAGCATACATCACAAACAAGGCTTGCAAAACATTACTTTTTTGAGGAAAAGAGCAACTGGCTCTGTAGTAGGAGAAGATCTAAATTTACTCAATTTCAGGGAAGAGGATCACAAAATACTTATACAACAATTTTGAACAAACACTGGCAAGATTATGGATTCGGTTGCTTGAGTCTGACGAAGAAAGAAGTAAAGCAGTTGAGGGGGTTTGTTCAGACTTGAGATTCAACGATGGGGAAAAAAATGAATGTTACACTCATACACATCAGATAAAACATCTAAGCTAGATTTACACTTCGGAATTGAAGTTAGGTACGTTATGAAAAAGGGCAGTGAAAAGAAATCAAACACGCTTGGCTTCGATCTTGCTTCGGACACATTTAGACAAAGCCTGCTCTATATCCTTGTCAGTAGCATCGATGAAGATTCGAAGTTTCCCGTCGGGAAGCACTTCGACCTGTACTAATTCCAGCGTAGGTATAAGCCAGGTGGCACCGCAATGCGAAACTATTACAAACCAGTCAGTCCCGGCAAAAATAATATGAAAACAGGATGTATGGGCGTACTCTTTTCGTGGGAGTGAGACGTAGACACCGCAATTGTTTTGCCACCAGCGGCCACACCGGCTTGAATGCCGAAGGGGGAGTCTTCGACAACTACGCAGTTCTCCGGTTCAAAACCAAGAGACTTCGCGGCCAGGATGAACGGGTCAGGCTGCAAAAAAGACACGGTTCAGCTGGAATTGAAATATTTCAGGGAACGACCCTGTAAGCTCACAAAAGGTTTTCCTCGTTCAAGACGGGGATCATCCGCTGTGACGGTGATTTTGGGAAGGGAAATGCCAACTCGTTGGAGAGCACCGTGGCAGTGGGTGACTGCGGCAGAAGTTGCGATGGCGAACCGATCGGCAGGCAGGGAGTCTGTCATCTTCCTGACGCCAGGCAAGATGCGCACCGAGCGATCCTGTGGGAATTACGATGATCAGTAAATAGGAAACGATGGCACATTGCTGTCGTTGCACGTACAACCAAATCAGATACGTCAATTTCGATGTCTTCATCATCAGAGTCATCGCCATCCTCAAACACGTCCTGGTTGACCGAGCTCTGTAAAACAGCGAGTTTCTTCTTTGCCAACATTTCGGCAGGTGTATTGGCGCGCTTCTCCGCTTGAGGAATCGATGAGCTGGAGTTGTTTGAGCTCAAGGGCGCAATACCCATAGCCTGTCACCGATGAATGGATCAAAAGAAAAAGGCTAAATGAGTTCTTGATCATAATGTCGTCCTTGAAATGCACAAAAACTTACAGCCATACGAGCCGACACGTTGTCGGGGGTGACTGATTGAGACAAGTTCGACTTGCGTCGCGGCTTTTCGTCAGGGGTGCCAGCAAAGGAAGCGGTTCTACTGGCGGCTCTACTAGCTCGTCTACTAGAAGCCACACTGGATCGACGGCTCTTGACCTCTATGCCATACTCATCTGCTTGTCTCAATATCTCGATCTCAAACTCTTTCACATGCGGTGCCATCTCCGCGTCCGACATTCTTCTGAGGTTTGGGTAGAGGTCTTTCAGGTTATCCATGACACGACGGCCATGGGTGGCTTCGATGACTTCGGCTGGTGGCTTGTTGATCTTCTTGGCAACTGCCGCCCAAGCAGACTCTATCGCTGGGATGGAATCCACGAGAGTACCGTCCATGTCAAACTTTCGAAATCAAGAAATGTCAGTTTTCTTTGCAGGCCCCAGTTTAACCAAGCTGTTCCTTTTTCTAGGAGAAAAACAAACCAAGACAGCATCGACAATAAATTCTGCCTTGTTCACGGCGGAGTAGGATTGGCAGAGATTGAAAGTAGTCATTTTGTGATTTTTCACTGGCGAAGAACGCAGGTAAAGTCTGAAATGGATGGATCGACGAAAGGTTTGGAGATGGATGTTAGAGAACAGGGTGTGGGATAGAAGTGGTGCTAAATCGAAGGAACACAGGGGGGCGAGGTTGGCCGGTTATGTTGAATTTCAAAACTTATTTAATCGATATAGGCAAGTGAGACTAATGGAGGGGGATGTTGGAATGTTGGGCTCCCTCAAGGGCAGAGTCACGCAGACTGGTTTTTATGCATCTTAGCTCCGATATCCGTTCAATGATGGAGGTCAACACTGATCATCTGTTGATCGCGCATTGCCCCGAAAATGCCAAAGTGAAATATGAAAGGTAGGATGGATTAGATTACAGCCATATAAGGGGATGTTCTACCGAGCCGAGCTAATGAAATGTCCAAGCCAACTTCAAGCGCGCGGCTCCGATTCAGGCAGATTGCTTAGATGGAAGCCGTTGGAAAAAAAAGTAGCAAGCCATTATGCCATATCCGCTGGACCACGCAGCTTGGCTGTTGCCATCATCAAAAAGAACCTTCAGTCGCGTCTGTCCACTAAACTTTAGCTATCAGTTCAGCAATTTCGCTGGCAGACGTGGAAGGTGAGCTCATCCAATGATCCATGCTGGATCAGGATGGGATTCCATCAGACTCCGTTCCAGGCCTGAGCGGCCGGTGAAAGATAGAGCTAAAACTCAAGTTCTTTCGGTAGATAGCTCATGTTTCCGATCGATCAAAGACCTTTTGCAGTGTGCTTCATTAATTGCACCTGTCCACCATCATTCAGCTAGTGTCCCCTAAAGCTTCATCAAGGCCCCAAAATTTCCCCGGACCGCCCCAGGCGCTAGGTCCATGAATCCACGCGAGGGTACTCGCGGGTCGTACCGTACCGGCTTTCAATCAAGCGCGACTGCTCGCTTGAGGGCATCCACTGATCTGCAGTGTAATACCACTTGGAGGTGGGATTCAGTCTGAGGCCGACTAAATACTTCATTGTCTCGGAATCAGAGTCGGATACTAGACCGTTGCATACACTTTTTAAGCTAGGGCCATTCGCAGTTTTGCTTTGGGTTCATCCAAAAGCATGAATTCAGAAACCAATCAGAACCGATCCCCCAATGCCTATCTACCTCGTCAAATCTCTACAATTGACCAGACTGTGGTGACAAGAGCAGAGGCCGGGTTAATAATTTCATTCCCCACACCATTCTCATCAATTTCTTTGATTTCGTAACAGCAGGTGCCCACCCCAACCATTTCACCAGGGCTTTCCTGAGATTACAGCGGGTTTTTGTAAAGATTGTTGGTGGCCCAGGCCCCTTTGATGTGCCGTCCCAAATTCTAGCCCATGCAAGCCCCCCCCCCCCCACCTTCCCTGCGCCGCGGCCCTTGTTTTCTTCTCCATCCTACCCGAAAAATACAAAATTTGGCATTCTGCCAAGTTTGTTTGTTGCGCACATCAGAATCGTGGCAGAAAATCAACAAGATGTATCGCTTCCACACAGATGTAATTGTGTATGATTGGTCAAATGTGTTTTGGTTGAGCACCTAACTACTGTGCCAGGAAATCAGAATGAGTACATAACAATTGTGGCAGAAAAGCGGAATGATTTCACGTTCCCACACAGATTTAATTGTGCTTGAGTGTCAAGTTCGGATTGGGCTGTGGGTTATGCACCCATTGAGCTCCTGAAATTTGCTAACTGGTTCCCCCTACCAACAAAATCCAGACAAAAAGGAAAGCCCAAAAACTAAGGGTACTACATACTACAAATCGATTACAATCAAACTGAAAGGTCACATGAAAGTTTACAAACCTCTACCCAGCGAAAACGAAGGATCCGAACCAATCGAAATTGAGACAATACCAAATATTGATGACATGTGTGCGACTAAGAAACAAGGATAAAATTGAATTAGCTGTAAACTACGTATCAACTTGAACTTGGTGGTAAGTTGGATCTTAAAAAAATTAGAAAGGTCTTTAAGATCACGGCGTCCCATAGAAGCTTCAGAGTGGGGGAAATCTGGTAGAAGCTGGGGCAGCAATCCAAGGCGCTTTTGGACTATCATTCGAGGGCTTGTGTCGTTCACTAAATAGATTATTGGATGGGGTCAGTCTGAAGAAGAGATACTGCACAAAAGACATTTACTTACTTGTCTATTGCCCGAAGGATAAAATTAACGAGAATAGCCGTGAAGAGTGATCCTGAGATGATCAGAGGAGCTATCACATCATCTGGCGGCCAACAGAAGAATTTATCCCAACATTCAAGAAGGATGAGTGACATGAGAAAAATACTCATAATTACATTATCACATAGATCTCAAAAACTCAAGCATGGACCGACCGAAGTGACCCGAATATTTTTCTTTAATCAGCCTGATTCGTTTTTTGTAAAGATGATGTCCATATCCTATGGTTCCAATTGCGATAGCAGCATAAACGACCCCCATAGCCCGTGCACCTAGAGATGGCTGAGAACAGGGAGACAGGAAGAATCGGGGTCAGCGATTTGGAAATCAATAATCTGAGCATCCGAAAGGCGTACGGATGAGTTAATAAGGGCGACACCAAACGAGCCCAGCAGGACACCAGTCCGACACCAATTCAACCACGTTCGCTCGTTCGCCAGCCATACTTTAGGCTCAATCCGAGAGGCGGAAGGCGGCTTTGAAGACGATGGGGTAGCAGCCGGTGCAGGAGCGGCCGTGGCCCCGTAGTCGGTCGTGGTTGGGTTAGTGCTAGATTGCGGCATTGATCTTGAGTTGAAGGACAACGAGACAGGTGAAGTGTTGGGATGGTCTGCTGTGGGTGCACGGTGCGAACGAAACTTGTCAGGAAGCATGACCCGGGGTAACCCGAACTTAGCTAAGCCCTACTTCGGGGCCCTCGAGGCGCATGAAGGAAGATTGGCCCTCCCCGAGTCCCCAGTGGCAGCATGACTTGTGCACAATCTGGGAGATGCAGGAACGTCCCAGTTTTCTCACTTTATTTATGAATTTTTCATGGACCATTGAAATGCAGAAGGCTTATATTCAAGATTTGTGCATTATAAGTTCATGAATCTCGGCTTTCTTCTGGTAGTATTGAGCTAATGAGGGCAACAAAAAAAGGAAGAACAAATAACCTTCTCCCTCAGGCCAAAATCACCTCTTACACACCCTCACAAGTGAGAACAAGTTAAATTTGGGGCAAGCCTTGCAGGCACCCCAAATTTGAGCAATGTCCAATTTCAATATGGAAACTCCAAGTACTGCAGTCTGGCTGGACCAACCTTTGCAGCTCACTGGAGAGTCAACTAGTTCAGAAAGATGTCCTAATTTTTAGGGTGGAAAAATCTCCTGAAGGGAGTCTTTCTTAAAGAGTCACGTCTCAGGACACGAAGGACTTTGTTGAGTTCGGGCGCTGGCAGTGTTCCGACCGTCTCGCTCTGAAAAGAGTGGAGTAGGTGTACATACATATTTATGTACGACATGTCCCTCGCTTCAGAGGGGCCTGGTACGCTGGCGCGAAGAACGGGAGGTGCTTCGCGTTGGGTTGCTCTGCACCCCAAGTCCTGGGAGGCTTTCTTACACTTGGTCTGAAAAGTTTTGTGATCTGATAGGGTGGGCTGTAAACAGGGGCCACATACTCAAGTCGCTTCAAGTTCCAGCATGAGAAATTCTCCAACTCACCCACCTTTTCTCCAAACACAAAAAAGAAGCATGCAATGTCTCATAGTTATTCCTGGTTGTCTAGCTGGGACATATAAGAGTTAAAATGAGCGCTCTCGGTACCCAACGTGATAGCAATCCGAAGCATATGTCATAATCAAGGACACGTTTTCCCAAACCAGGCTACAACTCACCCCTCAACATGGGCATTACCTCTTCATGGGCCATTCCAGCGTCCAAGCAACCCTTATCAACAATACTCCTGATACTTTTACTTGGGAAAATAATCCACGCCCCAGAGGCACCTGCGGGTACACCTTTCGGCGTGTTTCCAGACCTGAGCCAAGCCCAACTCGTCGTTGCAAGAGATAGTACGTGGAAACGTGCCTGTGTTCGGTGCTCCTGTTTCTACAGTTTCAACTAACCGGATTAATCTTGTGCGATTTGATTTCCTAGATGCCATAGAACAAGTTGACGAAAGATGCAAGTTATCAATGAAGGAAATCATCCAGGGTGAGCCCTCTTCGATCATCAGCTGCATTGAAATTTCGAGCTTCTCATTCGTACGAGTTGAACCATAGGAATGATCGGCAGTCCTCTTAGTTCTGAACCTGAGAATTCGACAAAAAGAGAGGCTCACCTGCCGGATACGTTCCAAAGTTAGTCGTTGTCATGGATTAGATAAATTCAAGGGTGTCGTTTCTCACTAACACAAAGTGAACACACATATTTAGGAAGAGGCGATGCTGATGAGCGCACTCGCACGTCTGACAATGCTGACGCGGTTGCAAGGGGGCAGAAAAGGAAGTCGCAGCTCGAAAACACTTTCGAAGGTCATTCCTCCAACGTAGATACCGACCAAGGTGAGCCTTCATCAATCGCCAGCCGCCTAGAAATTTTGTGCTGCTCATTAGTCAAGTGGAGCATTCAGAATGAGTGGCAAGCCATGTTTGCCTCTGTGACTAATCAGATGCATTCAATGATTTTGTTTCCTCGCTAGGAAGCAGCGATAAACGCCCTCGCACGTCTGAAAGTGCCCAGGCGGCGGGGGCAAGGGAGCAGATAAGGAAGTCGCAGCTCGAAAAAAGTTTCGAAGGCCATCCCTTGAACGTGGATGTCGACTTGGGTGAGCCATCATCATTTAACAGCTACTGCAGTCAAGTCGTGCATTAGGCACAGCGGCAACCGAATTTTACCTTTGTGACCAATAAGAATCTGTATTAATTCAATGATTTCGTTTTCTCACTGCGTACCGGAGATCGCACAGCGGAAAGCAGAGAAAAACGCCCTCGCACAAATGAAAATGCCGACGCGCCAAGCAGTTCGACAGATCCTTTGCAATCGGGTAGTCCACCTCCTATTACTAGCGAAGCTCGCACCGACCTCCTGACGCGTGTGATGAAGCCACTAGCTCATTGTTGGATGGATCACTCTGAAATTGATCTCAGGAAAAGATATTCAAGGAGGTTTAAAGAGTTGGCAGAACAACTTGAGGATCTTCTTGTCATCATTATCGATGCTCCAAGAAGCCCTAGTCTTGACCGTTCTTCTATGGGCATCGAGTGGAACCTATTGAGACTATCGCTGGAACCTCTTAAACCTTCACCAAAAATTTTTGATCACCTGGCTGGACAGTTGTTTGCAAAAATGTCGGAGATGTGGGATCTATTAACGGATCCTCAAAGTCTTCGCCCCGTCAAGCTCCCGTTAGCTACAAGCAAGGATGAGGTAGCGGTCCCGTCACATTATGCAATGATGTATCGCCTAAACGATATTTGGGTTGAATTCCTCGCTGTTTCAGCAAAGCACGACTTGCTCAGTGACGGTTGTTTGGAAGGTTATCTGAACAACAAAAACGCAGCGCACGGAGTCTACAATTATATCATGGGTAAATTTGTTCCATGGCAAAGTATTGCATCATTATATCTAAATCTTGACTTGAAGCTCGGCCTTGAAGAGAGTCGTTTTGCTCGTGGTGCACGTAGTCTCTGGAAGCGTCAGTCATCTATTTCTTCATTACTTGATTCGGCATCAAAACTGATTCCCCTCTGTTCTATGGCGTCGATAAACATGATCAGACGTTAGTCCCTCGACTTGGCAGACGCTGACACGCTTATATCTGGTCGCGCAATTTAGATCTTTCGCATATGGTGCCACATACCAAACTGAGGAGCTTCTCAGGTTGATAAACCCGTTTGTAATAGTTACATCGGATGAAGTAAGATACTCCGACAAATCTACCCATGATACCTGTGTGATGTCTTTTGTCGCACTTTTGCTCGACCACATTTTCGAAACACCTAACCCACGAGGTGACGGCCCCGACTCCCATTTCGAGATACGCAGACATGGGGTCTTGATCAAGATGCTACGATACATGATGCAATTTCACATCAAAGGCGTTTCCAATGAACTTATGGCTGAGCTCCAAAAGATGGACGTTTACCCACAAATCCAAGCATACGATGAAGCCGCACTCTTATTTTCGGATGTACTTGACTCCATGTATGTCAAGTATGGAGAAGTTCTTCAAAATCTTTCACCACACGAACTGGTCGACAGGCGGAGAAGGCTCGACCTATGGGATATAATTCATTTGACGAACAGAAGCCAAAGAAATCAACCTTCCATATTTTCTCTCGGCGCAAACGTAGAGCTTCCGCTTCACTACAACCAGGGAGTCTCTGCAGAAAGTTCTATCGGAATCGAAAAACCCAATTACAGATTCAAACACTTACTCCATAGGGATTTTCATTCTTTTCCTGAATGGCGGAAACGGATGGAAAAACTCGGATCTGAGTTTTCTCATCCAACTCCGCCATCAATATTTATCCTTGAACAGGAGAGTAGGGAGATTGCAAAAACACTTCAAACCAGACTTCATAAACTTTCCCCCAAACAGCAAGCTAATCACTTGGACAGAATTCTTCAATATTCCTTCTACCAATCCTACTCAGTTGACAATACATTTTGATCTAAATTGGTTCCCAATCTCAAGAGCAGAGGGCACAAAATGTGAAGACACGATGAGTACTCTTTATTGCAAATCTTATCAAACAGCCAGTAGTAGTAGACAAACTAACAAGAGAGAAGAAAGTATAAAGATAATAAAGATAACAAGTTAAGCATCACATGAGAAGTTCAACGACATCAAAAGAAACTACCAACATCTTTTGAGAACAACAAAAAACGAAGACTAAACAGTGCGATGATTACTTGAAGAACAACCAGATAAGCCTTGAACAGCGAACTAACATCAAAATAATGTTTTAGTTAACATGAACAACAACATATAATCACGAAAGCTAAGCGAAAACAACAAACAAATAAACAACTCCTGAATTCGATTGATTGTCGCTCCTCCTGGATTGATGTAGTCGGTGTTTTTATGCGTCTGTGTGTTTAGAGTATTATCGGCAATAAGTTTATTGGTCTCAGTGTTCAAAACAGATGCAATAATACCTTGATGACTTCTTGACCTCTTGAACTTGATGATGTTTGAGTCTTGAACCTTGAAGTCTTGACGAGATTGAGTGAAAAGAAGAAAAGAGAAAAAATTCACAGTCCAGTTCGACTACAGCTCGCTAGCTGTGATTATCTAAGCATTTGAAATAAACCACAACACATAGTTCCACGCGCACGCTGACTTCACATAAAACCCCCACACCTGATGTCGCTAATTATTCCTCAACACTCCTCCTTAATTAGCAGACACCAGTTGTAACTGTTTTTGCGCTATAGCCACCTTGATGAACCCAAGACACTTTGTCAATATATCCGCAATCATATCATCTGTGGAGATGTCTTCCACCGTTAATTGATTCTTAGCCACAATGTCCCACAGATACTAATACCAGATTTTGATATGCTTAGAATTTTCTGATAATCGAAGTTCCTTGCTTATGATAACCGCACCAGCATTGTCATTCCTTATACAAGGAACGCCGACAGGAACCTTCATGTCAATCAATAAGTTCTTCATCCATCGTATCTGTTTCGCACAGACATTGATCGCAATAAATTTGGCTTCCGTAGTTGACTGAGCCACGACAGATTGCTTCTTCGATTTCCAACAAATAATATTTCCTTGAAATTTCACCACATACCCCGTCGTAGATTTTTTATCTGGATTAGACATGGCATAGTCCGCATCAGCGTACCCTATCAAATCCCTAGGCGAGCTCCGATCTTTGATTTCAATACCGAACTTGATCGTCCCTTTGATATAACGCAACAAGTGTTTAACTAGGCTCCAGTGATGTTGCGTGGGTCGTGACGAGTAACGAGATAATAAATGTGTTGCAAAAGCAATATCCGGACGAGTGTGAATAGCCAAGTAATTAATATACCCCATAGCCTTCTGCATCACCGCCGCATCAAAGGGAGTTGATTCGAGCTCCACTTGATGGAGTGCATTTGTAGGTAGAGGCGTGCAAACTGAATTAGCCAATTCCATATTGAACGCCTTCAGAATCTTTTTGGCATATGCCTGATGATGAAGAACAACCGAATTAGTTCCCCATTCCAAGGTATACCCAAGGTGCTGAGTTGGTTTCTCTTTGACTTTCATTTTGTACGCCTTTTCAAGTTGAGACAGAAAAGAAACAATAATAGATTTGTTTTGACCTACAATCAGGCCATCGTCCACATAAATGTGCAAAAAGAGAGTCCTATCCAAGTTGAAAAAGAGAGCATCATCCATAATTGACGGGGTAAGACCGAGCGATTTGAGAGTGTTTGACCGAGCGATTTGAGAGTGTTTGACAGATGTTTTTTCCACATTCTTGGAGCTTGTTTCATGCCGTACAGTGATTTGTTCAATTTCCAAACCCAGTTCTCCTTGCCCGGAACCTCGAATCCGGAGACTTGACGCACATACACATCCGCATCCATCTCACCATGTAAAAACGCTGTTTCAACATCGAATTGAAAAACCTGCCACTTATAGGCAGCGGTGGGCCGCTACGCTACGCTACGCTTTTGGCCCAGAAAGCGTAGCATAGCGGCGCTTTTTTTGCGCCAAATTTTTGTAGTGTTAGCGCTGTTGAGATCTGATCTCGTCCCTCCTAGACTCTAGCAGTGTTTTCTCCAACATGACTGATTATGTAATCGGTCAGCTTTGCAATGACATCATTTCTTTGTTTCGACTCATTTGGCCTTATTCGTCTCCTCTATATATCTCTCTCTCCTTTCGCCGAATCAGTTTCTTCCTCCTCATGATTCCAGAAACATAAAACATCTACATCCACTTCTTAAGACTTCATTCTTAAATTCCTGGTTTCATCGCTGTCGTCCCCTTAACATTACATCGAACGACTTCTATCTACCTTTCTCTTAACATTACATTACATCGGACAACTTCTATCCTGTCCTCATATCTTCAGATCTCTTTCATCAAATCCTTTCGATCTCAATCCTCCAACTGGTCATCGATTACATTCTTAATTACAAGCACTCTTCCCTTCTACTCGACATCCCGCCGATATAAGTGCTTCCGCCGATTCGCAAGTCTTCTCATCGACGTAAGGTTTTTATCTCATCTCTTTGGACTGTCGACTGGACTGTCACCTCTCCTGACATTCTTTATCATTAGTTGTGTTCTCTTTGTTTCTATTCTTCCATTGTCGTTGTTGCGTCCTTGTACTGTTGCTCCTGCCTTAAGGTACATTTTCATTCTATCTTTTCTTTCTTTTTCATTGTTTCCTTGTATTTCATTGATATCTTACTAACCAAGAAATACAACCTTAAGTTTGATACTTAACAAGCGCTTTTGTAGCGCATTTTCGCTACGCTACGCTGCGCTACAGCACTTTTAGCGGAAAAAGCGGCTAAAAACCGCTAAAAACGGCTGTAGCTCAGCGTAGTGGGCCCTTTTTTGTGGCCCACACGCGTAGCGTTAGCGGTGTCATGGCAGAATTCTGCTACGCTACGCTTAACGCTAACGGGAATTCCGCTGCGTTACGCTACACTAACCGCTACGGTTAGTGTAGCGGCCCACCGTTGTTATAGGTGACCGCAACTGACAACATCAACTTGAACGTCTCAATGCGACCAACAGAAGCATACGTCAAGTAGTAATGCTTATTTGGTTCTTGATGATTTCCAAAGCCAACCCATCGAGCCTTGAATCGGATGACCTTGTTCGCTTTGTTGAGTTTTCAACACAGAACCCACATTCCACCAATCACTTTTTCACCATTTGGAGGAGGAACAAGATCACGGGTGATGTGCGCCAACTGAGATGCATGCTCGTTCGTCATAGCCTCTTACCACAACGGTTTTTCCTTTGGACTAGCCATAGCCTCCGCCATAGTAACCGCTGGACCAAATTTACAATCTCCGGTTGTTGATCAATAGCAGATGAGGATTGAACTTGCTGCCGACGTTTGGTAGAAACAATGTTTGATGAATCCACGTCCCCGCGAATCTCCTTTGACGGTCGATGGTTTTCAACATACTCCCAACCTGGCTTAAGACGATCAAGTGCCTTTTGTGAAAGAGTAAAGTGGAGCCCCTGATTTGGCGGCGCATCTTGAGAGTTGTCGATATTTATCGGACGTTCAGAACCACCAGTTTGCAACCTCTGTTTAGCCAGTTCCTTTTTCTTGGCAGCTCGTTCAAACACCCTAGCTGCATGAGCCTCAAGTGACAGATCCAAGTCACCATCGCCTGACAACTCCCCCTCGGATGATGAGTCATTATCATCCTGATCTCCGGGAATTCCCAATTGCAAAGAACTTTCATCTACCAATTCAGGGCTACGTGAAATTGACCGAGACAAGCTTCCTGGAAGGCGGGTAGTCAAGCAAGAATTTTGCTGTTGGCATGCGATACAACTTGAGGTAACGACTTGAGATCCTTCTTAAGAACAATATCGCCACTTTCAATAGATATGCTAGGAACGACGTAATCTCGACTAATCACAACTCTATGCACCAGGGGATTGTAAAACCGAGCGGCATCGGAAAACGGCTCGAATCCAAGAAACATGAGCTCGACACCTTTAGGTTCAATCTTCAGAGATCCTGGTCGATGAACCACCACACAAGCACCAAATGGAACCAGTGGCATATTCGTTTGGTCTGGTTCAATGAGCAGATTATGCTTGACCAACACTGATGTCGGAGATGCCCAATTGATTGAGGAGTGCTGCAAAACATTTAAGAGTGTTGATGCATGACAGACCGCTTCATGCCACATGGATTGAGGACCCTGGGACTGAAGCATCATGCATTTGACCTTCTCCAAAAGAACCCCATTGAACCTTTCAGACACTCGGTTAGTTTGAGGTGAATCCGCAGGTCCACGTTCAACCGACATTCCATAGTCTCGAAGTTTTTCAAGAAATTTAGATGAGCTAAATTCACCAGCTCTATCACTGTGTAGATAGGCAGGTACTCGGCAGATCTTGTTCCTTAACTCTTCAAACAACGATAGGAGTTTGACTTCAGATTCGGATTTGGATTTCAACAGGTACACCCGATTATATCGTGAAGCATCGTCAATGACTACCAGAACATATTGATAACCCAATTTGGACGGTGGCGAATTTTGAAGAACATCCGTATTGTCAGCCACAGAGTACATGTCACAGTACCTTTCATGTACCAAGTAACTGCAACACATAATGTTGATTACCTTTACCTCTTGTTATCTTATCATTAACTTACCTTATCTTATCTTATATTTATCTTATCATGTAATTACTTATCTATTAAATACATATCTGCATTATACATAAGTAATTATCACTTACCTTTCACTCCCTTGTTCGTGAAATACAATCATTACAAATAAATATGTACAGGTATTGAACAGTAAGTATTAAATGTCAATAGAATTAATACATTCAATACATGCACTGATCCCAATTATGACTACATTATTAGAGGATCTGTCAAGTGCACGCATCAAGAGCAACTAGTACATTGATCAACTAGTACTCAATTATGATGTCACTTACAGATCATGACA